TAATTAAAATTAGTTTTATATTTTTTATATTATAATTATATATAATTTTAGAAGAAGGAATTAATTTTGGGTTGGTTTACCCCGTCTTTATGAATCTTGTAGTCCATTTCTTTTAGTCTTTGGCCCAATTCCAAAGTTCATAATTTTCAAGCTCATAACTCCTAGGCCCATACCCCTAACCTAATCCCTACCCCTATATAATAAGACTTACACCTTAAGGACACAGCAGCCATCATCTTGAAGGATCCAAGAATCCCTACCCAAAAAAATGAGAGCAGTCGCAATACACAATAGATCCCTCAGTCGTTGAGCTTCATCTTCTCCACACCTTGAGCAGCGAACAAACACAAAAAACAGACCCTTTCCTTCTCAACTTTTGGCAGCGCCTCTTGCAAAAGGTACTAAAATATCAAGATTCCTCCTTGTTCAGATTGTGGACACTTTTGTATACTTGCTCTTCCCGAGCACGTTTTGCTGCAAAAGCTTCCTCATCAAGTACTTTGATTGGCGACCACTCGGGCAATTTTAACCAATCATCTTTCCTATTGACAATAGAGTTATAGAAGCTTCTCAAGGTTGGTTTTATTTTGATGGTAGCATAATCAACTGTCGTTCCAGCAACCGCAAAAATGACCGAATAACGAATAACACCAAGTTGACCACCTGACAATTTCATCAAAAAGAACAGTTTTCTCTACTCTTTGTTGTATTTTCGAGAGCTGATAGCCGCAAACCATCCCAAATAGTTCACTTACACCACTGTTCAAGCGCAATCGAGGTTCGAGTTCGAGTTCTGGTTGTGGTTCGACTTTGTTTTGCTGTTTGTTTAGATCTGCTTCTCTCCTCATGCTCAAAGGTACTGTTCCATAAAATCTGACTCAAAAATTGGAATATATCATGGATTAATGTATGAGTTTGATTTTTTTATTTATTCTGATGATTGTTTGAGTAAATGCTATGGTTTATACGGACTGATTGCTTGAGCATGTTTCTTCTTTCTGTTCATTGTGGGATAAATTAGTTTTGTCATGTCTATTGGTTTAAAGTTTTAGCCATAGAATGTTTTGTTTCCTTTAGTCCATAAATAAAAGTTTTTTTTTTGCTCTTAGTTAATTTGTTTAAAATAATTTAGTTATCTTTAGTAGTTTAGATTTATAGGAAATGTAGTTCCATGAATAGCTGAGATGTGAATCTTTCATTGGTTGTTATTAATTTAACATAATTTGGGAAAAGTTCCAAAATTTCAAAATGATTCTTACATATGTTGCTAAGTTATTTGATATTATGAAATTGACTACTCTTTATTTAGTTTCTTTGGTTGCTTCATTCTCAAATCTTAAATTATTATCGTTACTGTCTACACGTTTGCGTGACATAATTACGAATTGTTTTTTAAAAAAAAAATAAATCGAGGTATGCGTTCGCACAACTTTGGCCAAACATTCTTAATAATAACAAAAGCGTGAATAATTGTGTATACGTACGTGTGACATGATTCTTGACGCGTCGAGCAAAATGAGTACATGTACGCGTGACTCGTTTCAAGGTAATTTCATAATCAAGTGATTTGAAGCGCTTAAAAGGGTAAATGCACAAAGGTTTTAAAATCAGTAATTACACAATTTAATAAGCCAAGTATAAATTGCTAAGCGACCGTGTTAGAACCACGGAACTTGGGAGTGCCTAACACCTTCTCCCGGGTTAACAAAATTCCTTACCCGGATTTCTGTATTCGCAGATCGTAATTAGAGTCAATTTCCTCGATTCGGTATTTTAACCGGTGACTTGGAACACCATAAATTATTCCAAGTGGCGACTCTGATTTTAATAAATAATCCCATTTCGATTGTCACTTAAATTGGAAAAAACTTATTTATACCCTTTACGGGGTGTAATAAAAAGGAGGTGTGACGGGTGCCATTACGATAGTTCGCGGAGGGAGAACTGGGGTCGTGACACTCTTTGAGCCTATAGACCTTTTCTTTGGCACCCACATTAGAAGTCGTACTCCTATTCTATTCTTAATTTGAGATTGTTGAACGTTTACATACTAAGGCATTTAGTCGCTAAAAGAAGTAAGGTGATAGGTTGGGGAGTAGCTTTTGAGTGGAACCATGGAAGGGCCTTTTGGTTCACTAAAGTGTGGAAAAAAGGTCACTAGCCGATGAACCTTAATGTATGGAGGGTGTGTAGAAAGAAAAAGAAAAAGAGAAAAAGAAGAAAAAATATAATAGTTCAAATAATGTAGAAAAACACACACCTCCTAATCTTACTAATCGTTCTAGTGGGAATATAGAATGGCTTAATTAAAAAAAGAGGATATGTTGTATATGGTTTGTGGCGAGTGAATTGGTTAAGAAGAATAAGTACTCGATTTGTAAGTGTAGTGTATTAAAGTGCTTACGAGGCTTTGTCACTATTCTTAAATGTATCCTACATGTCCCTTAGCCTACATTACAACCTTAAAGTCCTAATCGATCCTAGATTTGGCTAGCTTAGATTAGTAGAGATGTACATTACGGGCAAGCTTATGGTACGACCACGGGATGCACATGAATTCTTTGTGAGAGTAAGTATTTTTTTTGTTCAAATTGTGTGATTTCCTCAAATTATGTTCAAAGGCATATTTGAATATGTGGACTATTCTATATTCACCCTTTTGTTTGTTGACGAGGGCACATAATTTCATGGCAAATTAGTAATGTTGTTAATTTCTCTTGTTGGGTGAGTGCGCGAGTTGAGGGTGCTTAGTGGTAACGCGTTGGCTCTTGAGGTAGGGTGGTGATGGATTGGTTGTTTGAATTGAAATGTTTATACTTGGGCATGTTTAAAACGAGAAGAATGTTAAATTTGTATGTTCGTGCTTGATTTCTGGTATCGATCAAAGTCAAGGGTAGAGTGTATGATTAAACAAAAAATTTAAGTGCTCCTCTCTAGTTGAAATTTGTACGTTGTTGGGGTGTAGTTGATAGTCTCATTGCTCGAGGATGAGCAAGAGTCTAAGTGTGGGGTGTTGATATTTAGCTTATAGTATATATATTTTATGTATATCGCCTCGCATTTTACTCGTGTTTCGTGGATTTCATATGTGAAATGTTATGATTTGTGTTAATTCATGGTATTTTAATGTGTAGGAATCATCCGGAGGCAATGTGGAACGAAAGTGCACGAGTTGAAGCAAAATAAAAAATTGGGATAGTGTAGCACCACAGGTAGCGTGAGGTGCTACCTACGGCCCAGTTTCCAGAACCTCAAAAATCCCAGCGCCAGGGCTAGTGCCCCAATCTACCCTAGGCGCTGGGAGATGGGAAAGTATCCTAATTCGTCCGGGACAAGGTTATTTTAACCCAAGACGCCCAACTCGTATAAAAGCAAGTCTAAACCTAGTTTGGAGGGGGAGACGCCACTTTGAAGGAAAAATACGCACAAGGAACATCCGGGAGCAAGGATATCTCAGTTTTCTTCGTCTTTTGTTTGTATTTTCAATTATTCAACACTTGTAAATTAGTTTTAATATTATCATGAGTGGATAAAAACCCATAGTTCTCAGGTTGTGATTTAACCATGGATATGTTGTTTGAAATTGACTTAACCTTGATTGCAATTCACCAATATATGGTTATTTCTTCAATTCTGTGATTAATTGCTTAATTGTCTGACCAACAGTTATGTTCTATTTACTATCTATATTATGCTTGGGAAAGCTACGTTTAGATTAGAGAAGAATTGAAGAGAGCATGATCTTAACTATGGGGGAGGGGGGTATTTGTGATTATGATAGGAATATACCTAGTTACCATGCTTAATTAAATATCATAATCTTAATGTATTCTTAGTAGATTGATTCCATAGGAATATAGGCGTTAATCTATTTTGAATAGGTGAGTAGGAATTCGAGAGAATACTACGAGAGTAATTGTTCGATTAATTAGCAACCATGAGTGAATTTATGATAGGGAGAATTAATTAGAACACAGTAGGATTGGTGAATCGATCACAACTCTGGAATAGTCGTCTCTGCTAAATACACAACAACTATTTTGCTACTTGATAAATTAGTTACTTGTTAGGATTATTGCTTAATATAATCACACTTTTGAACTCTGAAATACTTGACTGAATAATAATCTTGGTGAAACTAGGGGTTAGTTACACAAGTATCTGAGGGTTCGACACTCGACTTATCATTTTATTACTTACATGTATACGTGTGTGTGCATTTGAGAGTAACAATAATACATGTGCCATGGGTATTCATGATCAGGGAAGATTCTTGCTTACTATATGCTTTGTTTGGTTGTGTATTTTACTTGACTCAATGTGTTATTAAATTAATCGACTTCGTGAGTACTATAAACCATACTAGAGAATTGTTGAGGCTATTGGTAGATTATGTTGAACATGATGAATAAATTTTGAGACTTATGCTATATTTTCCTTGGGGATAGATACAGGTAGGCTATGAATACACATCTGAACTTGATCTTATAATGTGCCTTGGTTGGGACGTGTACACTCTGTGATATATATGTGATCCTTTGAACGACTACTTGGATTTGGTTGCTATACTTGATTTAACCATGATTATGATTTATCCGTGTGCGCTTTATTGATGAGTTATGAGAATGTGCCCCATGATGATAATTTGTTATCTTGCATTATAGTGTTGTTGTGGCACATGTGGATATGATGTGCGGATTGATTGTAGATGTGCATGCGGCGTCTAAGGGGGCATTTCATTTGCAATGTACATACAGTGAGATAAGGGTGTCTAGATGCGCATGCGGTGACATAAAGGAGGCATTTCATTTGTGACGTACATGCAGCGAGATAAGGGTGACTCTTGTGCATGCGGTGACATAAGGGAGGCATTCCATTTTGATGTGCATGCGAATACATAAGGGTGACATTGTAGGGATGTTATGTGATAGCTTGGGGGCAATTTCTATTGATTATATTTGTGTGGTGGTACAAAACGGGCATTCTTGTTTGTGCTTATGACTTCTTTATGTGTGTCATGCATTTTTTTACATGAGTTGATGCATTGTTTCTAACATATTAATCAATGCCTCTGTTATTACTTGGCGATTTGGTTGTCAAGATGAATTTACTTACATGGAGTTGATATCTCATATTTTATTGAGTTGTTGGTATCATATTGGATTGATCAAACGAGGAAGTTGTCATCATGCATTAATATATTTGATTCTTGATAAGTCTTCTTCAATATATCATTTAGCAATTGATACACAATTGAATTATAATGTGGCATGAGGTCCTTGCCGTGCAAGTATGGTTTATATTGTGGCATGAGGTCTTTGTCATGCGGGTATGACTTACATTGTGGCACGAGGTCTTTGCCGTGCGAGGTGGTTGATGATGTGGGCACGAGGTGCCATATGTGTGCGATTCGATTTGATGGTTTGTTGTTGAAACCGAACATTTACTTGTATTAAATTGTTATTACTTTTTTTTATGAGATTATAGATATCATTTTTTGCTATACCTTATGTTGCTAGGCTTTGATTTATTGCACAAGTTATTTGATAAGTGGGTATCTTTTGACTTAAAAACCTCTTCACTAATTCTGAGGTTAGTGAAAGTCGTACTCATACTATACTTCTGACCTTGCATGCAGATTCTAGAGCTGAGTAGCTGTGAAGACAGAACTTTATATTGGAGACGTGCCAGTGTACCGGATTCATGCTACCTTTTGTTCTTGGTAGCCTAAGATTTCATTTCTATTTATGTAAGTTTCAAACAGATATTATATTTATTTCCAACTTTAGTTTTGTAAATCCAAATCATAGTGACTCATGACTAGTACTACCAGTCCTGGGATAGTTGTATTAAATTCTTCTGCAGTATTATTTATATTATTGATGATTTCTCCTTGTAGTAGTAGCTTATACAGTTTGACTTACCTAGCGGGTTGGGTTAGGTGTCATCACGATATTGGTGGGACTTTGAGTCGTGAAACACATGCTCAACATGATCAGGCTCCTGCTCCTCAACTAGAGCTACTGGTGGCTCTATCACTACTTCTCTAGCAGAAACTCTAGCTGCGGCGCGTGCCCCACCTCGGCCTCTACCTCGGCCCGGGCCTCTCACGACTCTAACAGGGGGCACTAGTGCCTGCTCAACTAATTCTGTAGAAGAGTCAAAATTCAAACTTTGGAATAAACAAATCTACATGATAAAAAATGAAATAAAGTGAAGTTTCCTAACAACCCAGCAACCTATCAAAGATAAGTACAGTCATCTCTGAACCGACCCACAAAACTCTACTAGAATTGCTCTGGTAAAACATATGAACCTAGATCTCTGATACTAGCTTGTCACGATCCAAAGTCCTGCTAATGGTCCTGATGACACCTAACCTTTAAGACTAGGTAAGCCAATCATATAATGGTACAATATCAAATTAAGATATACTTAGTCTAAATTTAACATAAATAGCAGAATAAAGCTCCAACAAAACCAAAACGATAGTACATATGCTAAACTCCCAAATCCAGGTAATACTAAGTCATGAGCTCTAAACTGAATTCATAATGAATCTAAAAAAGGTACAATACCGTCTAAAAGAAATACTGTCTAAAGGTACAATCCTCCACCATTATGTCTTCCCCTCTAGGACAACCTCCAATTAGCTGCTCTCCACCTCTACCTCTAGATGGTTGGCCTCCACCCCTAGATGGCTTGGCGAGTAGTGTGGAAACTAGGGCTAGAACCATCGCCTAAGTACCCTATTGAGATATACTACTCCGAAGCCTAGGATAATCCCTCCTAAGGTGCCTCGAATCTCCACACTCAAAGCAATTTCTCTGCTGGCGTGGCTACTGGGACTTAGTTTTTCCCTAACGACTAGAATAAACGTCGTACGAACCATAAACTGGAGGTGCATTGTAGGGTGCCTACACTGCTAATATATCTAATCATGTATATTATTTTTTACATAACTTATTCTAAACCAAATGACCCGAATGGATCGAAGATACCATGTATTGGAATAATTGGACTTTTCCTCTTATCATTGAGAAAGATGATGGTCTTATGTCACGCCGCGAGATACTGATAAAATAATCTATAGAATATTTTCTTCTATCTTTTTGAAAGATTCATGAAAATGCCTTTTTATGAAAAAGAAAAATATTTTTCTTCATGCCAAGTGACAATTACACTTTGAAATTTCGGGGGGGGGGGGGGGGGCAAC